ACGATTATAAAAAAAAATAATTGTTTATAAACAAGAATTTGATATTGGAAATACATATAGTATATGTAGATACACTTTTCACATGTACAGAATGTTCGGCAGCTTGAGATGGATCATAGCAATAACAATTGTCACATCATTAACAGAGGCGAATTATTCTCCTCCAGAAAGACTAACTGGAATGAATCCTTGTATTAGCAAGCAAACATGTCATGAATGCATACAGACACCACATTGTGCTTGGTGTGCTGCACCAGTAAGTTTTATATCTTTGTTTTATTAATTTTTGCAAATTTTTTATTTTTATCTAAATATATTTATTGTAGATATAATACATAATACTTATGTATAATAACCATTTTTTCTATAGAAATTTTCTGAGAAGCGGTGCTTTTTACCAAACATCAATACCAAAATATTTGCAACATGTCCAGCAGAATATACATGGAATCCAGACAATGTTTTCAGTATGATAAGACATCGAAATTTAACAAAAGGTGGCTATGCAAGTGGTGGTAGCAATAGTTATGAATACTCATATACAAATTCTAGCATGTTTAGCTCTAGTTCACAGTCCAATAGAGAAAGTAGTAGTAGTAGCAGCAGTGCCAGTAATAGACGACAAGAAGCTGTGCAAATTTGGCCACAAGAAGTTAATTTAAAACTTAGAATAAGTAAGTTATTATAATATTTATATACTAAAAATTTTTAGTAGAAAGCAGTACCTGCACTATTAAATGATATTAATTTTTTAGATGAAGCACATAGAATGACTTTTGCCTATTCACAAGCTGAAGATTATCCTGTTGATTTGTATTATCTTATGGATCTGAGTAAATCTATGGAAGATGACAAGAAAAAATTATCAGATTTAGGTCAACTTTTAGTAGAGAGTATGAGTAAAATTACAAGTAATTTTCGACTGGGTTTCGGCAGTTTTGTTGATAAAGTTGTAATGCCTTACGTTAATACAATGCCTAAGTCGTAAGTCCTCTGTAAAAAAAATTATAATCTTTGTGTAATTGTAATTTGAAATTACAAACTTGATATATCATTTAGTGATGAATTTATTATTTGCATTTCAGACTAATAGAACCATGTGATGGGTGTGCAGCACCATATGGTTATAAAAATATAATGACATTGTCTCAAGATACTAGTCATTTTGCAGTAAGTGCATAATAATTTAATTTCTTGATTGATACTGTATGTATAAGAAAATTATTAACTTTCTTTATTTATGTAGAACTTAGTGCGAAATGCTTCAGTATCTGGAAATTTAGATGCACCAGAAGGAGGATTTGATGCAATAATGCAAGCTATAGCTTGTAGACGACAAATTGGTTGGCGTGAAAAGGCTCGTAGACTTTTAGTATTTTCTACAGATGCTGGTTTTCACTATGCAGGTGATGGCAAATTAGGTGGAATTGTAAAACCGAACGACGGTGAATGTCACTTGGATCTTAGTGGTCTTTACACGCACTCATCTTTACAAGATTATCCAAGTATTTCTCAAATTAATTTAAAAGTGAAGCAAAATGCTATTAATATCATATGGGCTGTTACGGAAGAACAAATAAACGTATATAAAAGACTGACTAAACATGTAGAAGGATCTTTTGCTGGTAAATTGTCGGATGACTCAAGTAACGTTGTAGAGTTAATTCGTGAACAGTATGATGCAATTTCAAGTTCAGTTGAAATGAAAGACACAGCCAGTAGTGCCGTGAAAGTAAAATATTTTTCGAAATGTTTGGGTACGGGACCACTTATCGAAACTTCAAAATGTGATGGATTAAAAGTTGGAACAAAAGTAGAATTTACTGCGGAAATTGAAGTCACGAGTTGTCCAGAGAATAGATCTGAATGGAATCAAAAATTCGATATATATCCTGTAAGAATAAAACTATTCTTATTTATTTAATGTAATGTTCAAACACGAAGGAAAAATTGTACTTATGTTTCTTTAGGTCGGTATCAATGAAACGCTTACTGTAAATTTAGAAATGTTGTGTGATTGTGAATGCGAACGCGAAGGTGCTATGTACGAACCAAAGTCATCAGAATGTAATGGTGTAGGAACACTAAAATGTGGTATTTGTGAATGTTACGATGGATTCTTCGGGAAACGTTGTGAATGCAGTCCACATCAAGAAATGACAGGATTCGATAAGCATTTTCAATCTTGTAGGCCTGATAACACTTCTCTTGTAGATTGTTCAGGAAGAGGAACTTGTGCTTGTGGTCAGTGCGAATGTGAAGAAAGAGAAAATCCTGAAGAGGTTAATATGTTTGTATAATATTAATGCCGAAACTTGTAGTTTTCTTTATATTGAATATTTAATGTTACGCTATTTATTACAGATAATATCAGGTCATTTTTGTGAATGCGACAATTTTTCGTGTGACCGAGATCAAGGTCATTTGTGCTCGAACCACGGAACATGTGAATGCGGACAATGTGTTTGCAATGCAGGTTGGACTGGTCCATCTTGCAATTGTAGATCTTCAAATGAAACTTGTATTGCACCAGGAACTACAAACGGAGTATTATGTTCAGGACATGTAAGACTTTTATTACTTTCCTAAAAAACTTTACCCTACCCATTTTATCCTTGCAATTTTGATTGTATATAATCATTTAGGGAGACTGTATTTGTGGTGAATGTTTTTGTCATGAAGAAGGAAACACTAGATATTCTGGAAAACATTGTAACAAATGCCCAACCTGTCCAAGCCGCTGTGAAGAATTAAAGAACTGTGTATTGTGTCAAATGTATGGTACTGGTAATTTTACTGTCAAAGAAGAATGCGCAAAAAATTGCAAAGAATTTGTGCCCGAACCAGTTGATACAGTTATACCAGATGTTGACAAAGATGAAGTTCTATGCTTCGGTATAGATGAAGACGACTGCAAATATAATTTTGTTTATTATTATGATGAAATAAATTGTCTACAAGTCCGAGCTCAAAAAGACAGGGAATGTCCACCACAAGTTTATATGCTGGGTATAGTATTAGGTGTAATAGCGGCTATAGTTTTAATTGGTCTTGCATTATTACTTTTATGGAAACTATTAACAACTATACATGATAGAAGAGAATTTGCAAGATTTGAAAGGGAAAGAATGATGGCTAAATGGGATACGGTAAGCATTTCAAATTATCTTTGATTTAATACATTTAAGGATACAAAATACTTTATTTCGAATATTTTCAAATAGGGAGAGAATCCAATTTATAAACAAGCAACTTCAACATTTAAGAATCCAACATATGCTGGAACATGAAAACAGTAAGAGTGATCTCTATTTAATAGAGAAAATTACATTACAGTAAATTGTGTTTTTTATATATATAAATTTTAAACTGGTTAATATTTAAACGACAAACAACAATTTATTATGCAGCAAATGAAGCTTTAGCCGTAATTAGGATAGTTGTTAACATTGTAACTCATAAGTATTTATACGATATTTTAATACTGCCATAACTTAGACTGCTATGTATGACTGTGTGCGTATGTGTGTAGGTATAAATTATGTACACAATGTATACAACGGAAAATTATAACGTAGAGGTGAATACCTGCATGAAAATATGACAACGCTGCGGTTTAAAGATTTACAATTTTAATCTTACCGTGACATTTATATGCAAGTGCCTTTCGTCTTATGACAAAAATATTTGGGTAATTCTTTAATTACATTTCTTAGCATGAAATTTATGAGATATATTAATCTTTTAGAAGGCTTCATTCACTCTTTTCAAATTGGATCTTACAGTGCAATGAATTCTTCTTTCAAAATGTCATATTTATTGAGATTTTTCATACATTAATATATTTCAAACAAAATATAAATAAGGCACATTTTAATGTGATATTTTAAGATCTAAAACAGTTTTGAAAGATACAATTTAACAAACGATATTTCGTTACTTTGTTCTTAAGTCTTCCTTATTCTCACGTATGTTTTAACTTTTATAAAAAAAAAAAAAATCTAAAACTGTTTATAACAAACGCAAAAACTTCAATTTTTTTTTTTAGAAATATCTATGATATGTTATATAGATATAAAATCCATAAAATTCGATTCTCTATTCTATACAGTATGTATAAATAGAAGTATAATTAACGTAAAGAAACTTAAATCAACACTCCACATGTTTCGAGAAACTAATGCTTTATAATGCGTTGTATTATTCAATTTTAATTATACTAATCGATTATAATTTATAGCTTTTACAGCACTTTATTTTTGTTTATATGTTTACAATGAAACAAAGAAATTAATTATGTATAACAATAAAACAAATTTCGAAACAATGAATATCTCAAATACAAATGAATAACTGTTATTATGCAATAATTATATCTATGCGAAAATTATCTATTTGATATATCGTACACGTTGCTCTCAAATTCTGTCACTAATAATGATAAAAACATCAGCTTATCTTACGTTCTCATTGTAAGATAAAATAAATAAACATAACATTGTATCACCATGTGTTGACAATATATTTTTATGCGCGCATTTATACGTTGACTTTTGTAGCCTTGTTTTCATAAATAAACTACTTATATATGAATTGATTTTGCATTGGTATAACTTAATGTTCCTTAACAATAAAAAATTTAAAAGAGTAATAGTATTATTGATATAAATTTTGTTTATAAACAATTTTTTATACCTACAATTTTCAATCAAATTTTTCTTCTAATTCTTCTGTTTTATTTAATCTTTGAAAGTGTTGAACCTTCAGAAATAATGAAGCAGTTATATTTTTAATCATGAAATATGATACTCGTGTACAGTTACATTTTACTAGAAACTTGTTTATCGATGAAAGCGATGTACAGACAGTAATTTACGCACAAAATTGGCGTTGCGACAAGAACGCAGTGTAATATGCTGCAGTTGCAATTTTATGATAAATAACATGACTTTTTATAAGATGTATTTTTACGTAAATAGAGACTAGATACAAGTTTATCTTTACTAAAATGTGCATCGTGTAATAATAGAGATACCTAATGACTAAACAAAAAAAATTATACAATGATAAACACAGAGAAATAATATTGCTATGCATATATTGTATAGAGGTCACGACGGAAATAAACTGTATCTTTAATTATGTATTGACTAATATAATTAACTCTTTTCAAATAGGGAAGTC